AATTGTAATATTTCACAATGTTACTGTTTTTTTATTTTTTTTTTATCAAGTAAATGCAGCCTTGGTAAGCATGAGTTTTATTTTGAAAACATTAAAAAAATCCTAATGACCCCAAACTTTTGAAAAGGAACGTATACTATTGTTTTGAAATAAAAAGAAACCATAAGCTATGGTTTCTTTGAGATTGAATAATTCAAGCATCAAGGGGTTAAACAAATAAAACAAAAACATGCAAGAACATTTTCACATTCTGGCTTGTCTCATCCAGGTATCCAAGGCCTCTGCTGACCTCATGCGTTACTGTGGAGAAAACGCCAAATATGACCCCCTGCTCATGGGCATTCCTGCCTCAGAAAACCCCTTCAAGGACAAAAAGCCCTGCATTATATTGTAGTGTAACAAGCACTAATCTTATTTAATTACTTCTACTCAACTTTGCCTTAAGTCCAACTCTAGCTCCTTAGTATAACTTTGTGCCATGTCTTAACTGTGTTTAGCTCTTACAGTATTTATTACTGTAAATAAACTCCAATCAGTACTAATTAATTGCCATTTTGGTAATGATTAGCATTGCATCTCATCTTTACCAGCATCACTTGTCTACTGTTTGGTTGTTTGGGCCAAACTGAAGTCATTCCGGGAAATTATCCTATAAATCAAGCTGTTTAGAAGTTTTAAAACAGTCTTAAGTTCCTTTTTCCACTGAATGATGCCTTAGTTACACTTTGTGCTTGAAATAGGGACGTAGCACATCACATTATGATATGCTTGCAATTACATTACCTGATTAAATCTCACTTAACATTTTGTTTAGATTTAAAGGGGTCATATGATGCTGCTAAAAAGAACATTATTTTGTGTATTTGGTGTAATGAAATGTGTTTATGCGGTTTAAAGTAAAAAAAACACATTATTTTCCACATACTGTACATTATTGTTTCTCCTCTATGCCCCGCCTTTTTGAAACGCGTCGATTTTTACATTTTTAGCGAGGTGTGCTGTGATTGGCCAGCTATCCAGTGCGTTGTGATTGGCTGAATACCTCAAGCATGTGACAGAAATTTTACGCCCCTTACCATACTGTGGTGCCGGAGCGACGAGACAAAAACAATAAAACCCATTATAAACGAGGCATTTGTTGCATCCAGTTTTTACGCATTGCGTTGCATCGCGCCGTGTAAACATAAAACCATGTCTGCATTTGTGATCAATACTACAGTGAGAATAAAAGTTACGCCTTCTTTCTTTGTGTGAACATTTGGGCGGCGTTATGCAAATCTTCCCACAGAGCGACGTAGGTATGTTGGGGCGTGTTAGAATGAGCCGTTTTAGGTAGGTGTGGCTGACTGAACTTTTATAAAGAATATCTCTTTGGATTTGAGACTTTAGTCTTTGCAACTTTACAGATCTTCTTTATGCACCAAGAGCTTGTAACACTCCAAAGAGAAAGGAAAAATTTAAATCGCATCATATGACCCCTTTAAAGTGCCCTTTCCTTCTGATTTAAATATCTCTTTCCTGTGTCAAGCACATTTGTAAAACAAAGACCACTGTTGTTTGATCTTTTCTATGAATTGAATGGATTTTTCCCAAAAAGGGCAGTCGTGAGACATTCACACCTTTAATGGGCCAAGCATCCATATATTGATGCTGCAACATCTGTTTTATTTTGGAGACTTCAGAGAATTTATGCAGTATTTGAGGTTCACAACCAAATTCCTGTGACCCCAGCATCTCTGTGAAGAAACAAGTTTCCTTTTGTTCTTTTTGGTGTTTTTTTTTTTGTTCTAATTTCTGTATTTTTGCAAGCCTTCATAATGTGTACTGTACCTTGAAAGAAAGATTTTATTAAAATTGTGAAACAATAAAACTAAGTGCATCGCATATGTATGTGTTCTTGCGAAGTCTAACGTCAAATAGTTTGTACTATATTAGTGTATCATATGAAAATTTGTCATATGTAAAAGCTGATTTTTAAAAAAATTATTATTATATTTAAAAGTGCAACTTGGACATTCTGCAAAATATCTCTGTTTGTGTTCCACAGAAGAAATAAAATCATGTGGGTTTGTAATAATACGAAGGCAAGTAAATGATGACAGATATTTCATTTTTGGGTGAATTATCCCTTTATTACACACAAAGGAATCAAAACAATGTTTTTACCCCAAGGTTTAGGTGTAACCAAGTAAACTACTGTTCAAAAGTTTGGGGTTAATAAGATTATTTAGATTTTTTTTTTAATATATTTTGAAAGAAGTTTCTTATGCTCACCAAGGCTGTATTTATTTAAAAAAAATGCAGTAAACAGTAATTTTGCGAAGTATTTCAACAATTTAAAATAGTTGTTTTTTATTTGAATATATTTTAAATTGTAATTTATTGCTGTGATGGCAATGATGTGTAAATGTCTTTACTGTCATTTATGATCAATTTAATGCATTCTTGCTGAATTAAGTTATTTAAAAAACAACAACAATAGCAACAACTTTTGAACAGTAGTGTAAAAAGTAGTAGATGATGTTTAAAATTCTTCTAAGCCATTAAAGATGTGACCGAAACGATTGTTATTAAAGGATAATTAATGTGCCGTGGGCTGTATGTTACTCTGAGCTCTAGGAATGGTGCACTGTGATGTAAGTTGTGACAAAACAGCAGTTATATCACCTGGTCCTTGTTGTACCTGCTGTCTAAAAATAATCTTTTTAAAGACGTCAGAAAACTGCCTACACAAAGCAGTTATCACCTACAAAATTGAGAGCTTAGCTGAATTTTGATCAGGATTACTTATGGTTCATCTACACAAACAGCTAAGCTACATTTTAAGTAACCCCTAACTGCCATGTTTTGCATTTAGCTTGTCTTTGGGAGATGCATTTTGTTTTCCTGACAAAGTACCTAGTTTTATTCTTGTTCATGTGACTGGTGTTTACCTGCCATGCATCAGCCTAACAACATTCAAACCTTGCTTCATCACCTTTGTATAGGGAAGTGGTGGTTTACACAACTGATTTACTTGTATGTGGTATCTGGAAACCTGACCCAATATGTGCCAGTCATGTGATCGCAGCCGCACTTTCTGAACACTTCCAGACATGTCCCTAGACACTTCCGTTCTCCAGCTGGGCTTGTATAATGGGTTACATTCTTGCTACACATTGACTTTTAACATACATAGTATCAGTTTGTCAAACATAGCACAATTAAGAGCAACTTGATTTACGACAGCAAGTTTGACTGACGCAAGCAAGCGTACATTAAACTGAACCTGAGCAATTCATTTCAGCTGAAAAAGGAATCTGATGAATAGATGCAATGGTCACGCTAACTAAAGCAGGACAAAAGAAAGGCTTGGATGGCTTTTGTTGGCCTGTAATAGGGAGTCACGAAGGGCACTGAGTCCAGCGTGACCCTGCTGATCTGAGAGGTGTGTGGTGTTGTCAGGTCAATTCTACTAGTCCACTCTGCTTTTCCAGAAACCTCTAACAGAGTAACCCGCATGACTACCATGTTGTGTTCAAAAATACTTTTATTACAACACAAAATTCATTTCGCATTTGAATATAATAGTATAAAATGTTTTACATAAATACTTCTTTAAATTAAATATAAATAATTTAAAGACCACAAAAGAACAATTAACTTATGTAAAAAAAAAAAAAAAAAGTTCTTACAGGATACTGTGGTAGCACGTCCCTTTAAAATAATATATTTTCCAACATGAATAAGTACTAATAGTGTACTATTCAAAAATGATAGCAAAAAATACAAAGAACAGGGCAGCCTCTTTTAAAAAATATCACCTCTGATATTGTGTTGCCTGAGAAATATTTCATCCTGTAATTAACTGAAGTGCTTTATGACACCCCACCAATAAACTATCTCACAAGATACTCAGGTGCTCACTTCCATTCACAATTAGCTTCACGTGACGTCCTCAAAAAGTCCCACAAGCAAAGCCAAAAACTGCTGAATCATCTCAGATTGCAAAAGGGTGCTCCTCCTCCAGTTTATTCTGTAGCTTAGTCCCTAGTTCCTCCAGTCTGGACTATCAGTCCTTTTTGTGATCACCTTTTTTAGCTTTCATCATTTTTACTAGATATTTTTATCCATGTTTTCTCTTGTCTTTAGCTGTCCTCATCGTTCTGGAAGGTTAATGATGGGCACCCACTGATCCATACAGCGACTCTCTTTGCAGAAGCGGTTCACTTTTCCCATAGCTGGGTTCTTCCATGTGGATGCATGTGGAACCTGTGAACATCAGAAGAAGAGATGGGATTACAGTCTGTTTGTGTTTGCTAAAACAGGTCCTGCTGAGTAACTTCAAAGCATTAAGCATCGTCCTTTACAGTCAGCCTTGTCTTTGGAAGGCACACATATGATATCAACATTTTATCAGCCATCATCTCCCTGATCTCTGCATATCACTATTGGCCATTAATATGTCTGACACCTTGATTTCCCAAACCATAAATAACGTTCTTTTTCCTGCACATGCCCTGGCCGGGATTTCTAAATCGAACTATTTAGAAATCCCAGCCAGGACATGTCCAGGAAAAAGAGGACCTACGCGAGTATGAATAAAAGTCAAACTGCAGTATATGGCCATGAATTCAAATGTCCGAAGGGATTTTGAGAGTTTGCAAATCTTACTGAATGCATCTTATGGAGTATATAAAATCTTTTGAAAGATTATAAGAATGATGAATACTGAAGCACCTGTTCATTTGATTCCAATGAAGCAAATTATATGCAAATAGAAGCATGGAACATTAAGAGAAGAAACTCCTATTTGCATAAGAATAAGAACAGAGCAGGATGTGCATGTGGGTGTCATGCACTGGCAGTTACACCGGGACATGTCCTGACACCTTACTAAAAGACATTTTCACGTGCTGGTTACTGGCCTATTTTAGCTTTGGATTCATATTTAGATTCTAATCACAGCTAGAATTAATTGTTAACACTTACAGTGACCAGGGTGCAGTGCAGATCCATCTGCTCGCTGCCGTGTATGCCGGCACCCCCGAGGATGTGCGCGAGGCGACGCGTGTTGTTCACGCGCAGAATGTTGATGTCGTTCTCGCAGCAGAAAGCCTGAATGAGAGTGAAGTGAATCTGAAGCGCCACATCCTTCACATCATCGTCGTCCGTGGCCAGGATGCACAGCACCACGTTATCAGGGTCCCTAAATAGAAGAGTTGAGATTTTAGTTCGTTTCACTGCACCTGTTGCAATGACATTGGAAACCAATAACACTGGAAGCCTCTAAAGTAAACTTACATATTGAGTGACTTTGCAGCCTCGTAGACCCCAACTGTAATACATCCCTGCGGTAACGCGGAGCGCAGGACCTCCTCCAGAGCTTTAATCACAGAATCCATCCTGTAAAAAACAGAATTTGGATGAATAATCAAGTAATAAAACATGAATAAAGTCCAGAACATTGAACGTTTTTGGATGGCAACGGCTCGTGCAGATTTAAACAGCGGCGGTTGAAAACTATTACAGTAATTCATGTTTTAAGTAATTAACATTACAGAAAGTAATGTTTAAATGTTTGAGTGCGTAATTTGCCTACGTTCGTCTTATAAGCCGATAAAATATAAGCAAAACTTATTTTGCAAAAACTTTATAGATTTTAGAGACCGATAAAAGGTCTCATGAGCCGATCTTTTGCAGCCGACAGTTTGCCCGGTATGTGTTTGCTATGTCTTTGTTTCATTTGTTCCACAATAAACAGAAATATTACTATATATTTCAAAAATCACTATGTTTTTTTCCGGATTCGCACATTATTATTCACTTATTGTTAAAT